AGGGACAGACTGCCTCTTCAAGTGGATCCCTGACCTCGTGGTATCCTGACTGTGAGACGCTTCCCAGCATGGGCCAACAGACACCTCATACAGGAGAGCTCTGGCTGGCATCTAGTGGGTACCCCTCTGGGACAAAGCTACTAGAGGAAGGAACAGGCAGCAATATTTGCCGTTCTGCAGTCTCCATCAGTGATACCCATGTAAGCAGGGTCTAGAATGGACTTCCAGCAACTCCAGCAGACCTGCAGCAGAGGGGCCTGACTGTTGGAAGGGAAACTAACAAAAAAAAAAAAAAAAAGAAATGGTCTCATCCATTAAGAGACCCTATCCAAAGGTCACCAACTTCAGAGACCAAAGATAGATAAATCCACTGGGAGAAACCAGTGCAAAAAGGTTGAAAATTCCAAAAACCACAATGCCTCTTCTCCTCCAAGGGATAACAACTCTCCAGCAAGGGAACAAAACTGGATGGGGAATGAGTTTGACAAATTGACAGAAGTAGGCTTCAGAAGGTAGTTAATAACCAACTCCTCTGAGCTAAAGATTCTACCCAATGCAAGGAAGCTAGAACCCTGCAAAAATGGTTAGAAGAATTGCTAACTAGAATAGCCAGTTTAGAGAAGAACATAAACGACCTGATGGAACTGAAAAGCATAGCACAAGAACTTCAAGAAGCATAGACAAGTTTCAATAGCCGAATTGGTAAAGCAGAAGAAAGGATATCAGAAATTGAAGATCAACTTAATGAAATAAAGGGAGAAAACAAGATTAGAGTAAAAAGAGAGAAAAGAAACGAACAAAGCCTCCAAGGAATATGGAATTATGTGAAAAGACCAAATCTACATTTGATCCATGTACCTGAAAGCAATGGGGAGAATGAAACCAAGTTGAAAAACACTCTTCAGGATATCATCCAGGAGAACTTCCCCAACATAACAAGGCAGACCAGCATTCAAATTCAGGAAATACAAAGAACACCACAAAGGTATTCCTCAAGAAGAGCAACCCTAAGATACATAATCGTCAGATTCACCAGGGTTGAAATGAAGGAAAAAATGCTAAGGGCAGCCAGAGGGAAAGGTCGGGTCACCCACAAAGGGAAGCCCATCAGACTCACAGTGGATCTCTCAGTAGAAACCCTACAAGCCAGAAAAGAGTGGGGGCCAATATTCAACATTCTTAAAGAAAAAAATTTTCAGCCCAGAATTTCATATCCAGCCAAACTAAGCTTCATAAGTGAAGGAGAAATAAAATCCTTTACACACAAGCAAATGCTGAAAGATTCTGTCACCACCAGGCCTGCCCTACAAGAGCTCCTGAAGGAAGCACTAAACATGAAAAAGAACAACCGGTACCAGCTACTGCAAAAACATAGCAAATTGTAAAGACCATCAATGCTATGAAGAAACTGCATCAACTAATGGGCAAAATAACCAGGTAATATCATAAGGGCAGGATCAAAGTCGCACTTAACAATATTAACCTTAAATGTAAATGGGCTAAATGCCCCAGTGAAAAAACACAGACTGGCAAATTGGATAAAGAGTCAAGACCCATCGGTGTGCTGTATTCACCTGACATGCAAAGACACACATATACTCAAAGGGATGGAGGAATATTTACCAAGCAAATGGAAAAAAAAAAAAAAAAAAAAAAAAAAACCAAGGGTTGCAATCCTAGTCTCTGATAAAACAGACTTTAAATCAACATAGATCAAAGGAGACAAAGAAGGGTATCACATAATGGTAAAGAGGTCAATGCAACAAGGAAAGCTAACTATCCTAAATATATATGCACCCAATACAGCAGCACCCAGATTCATAAAGCAAGTTCTTAGAGACCTACAAAAAGACTTAGACTCCCACACAGTAATAGTGGGGGACTATAACACCCCACTGTCAATATTAGACAGTTCACCAAGACAGAAAATTAACAAGGATATCCAGGACTTGAACTCAGCTCTGGACCAAGTGGACCTAATAAATATCTAGAGAACTCTCTACCCCAAATCAACAGAATATATATTCTTCTCACCACCACATCGCCTTTATTCTAAAATTGACCACATAATTGGAAGTAAAACATTCCTCAGCAAATTCAAAAGAATGGAAATCATAACCAAGAGTCTCTCAGACCACAGTACAATCAAATTAGATATTAGCATTAAGAAACTCACTCAAAACCACACAGCTACATGGAAACTGAACAACCTGCTCCTGAATGACTACTGGATAAATAATGAAATGAAGGCAGAAATACAGATGTTCTTTGAAACCAATGATAATGAAGACACAACATACCAGAATCTCTGGGACACATTTAAAGCAGTGTGTAGAGGGAAATTTATAGAACTAACTGCCCATAAGAGAAAGCAGGAAAGATCTAAAATCAACACCTTAACATCACAATTAAAAGAACTAGAGAAGACGAAACAAATTCAAATTCAAAAGCTAGCAGAAGACAAGAAATCACCAAGATCAGAGCAGAAGTGAAGAATATAGAGACATGAAAAGCCATTCAAAAAATGAATCCAGGAGCTTGTTTTTTGAAAAGATCAACAAAATAGGCTACTAGCCAGACTAATAAAGAAGAAAAGAGAGAAGAATCAAATAGATGCAATAAAAAATAATAAAGGAGATATCACCACTGATCCTACAGAAATACAAACTACCATCAGAGAATACTATAAACACCTCTACTCAAATGAACCAGAAAATCCAAAAGAAATGGATAAATTCCTGAATACTTACACCCTCCCAAGACTAAACCAGGAAGAAGCCAAATCCTTGAATAGGCCAATAACAAGTTCTAAAATTAAGGTAGCAATTAATAGCCTACAACCAAAAAAAGTCCAGGACCAGATGGTTTCACAGCCGAATTCTACCAGAGGTACAAAGAGGAGCTAGTACTATTCCTTCTGAAACTATTCCAAACAACAGAAAAAGAAGGAAACCTTCCTAATTCATTTTATTCGGCCAACATCATCCTGATACCAAATCCTGGCAGAGACACAACAAAAAAAGGAAATTTCAGGCCAGTATCCATGATGAACATTAATGCGAAAATCCTCAGTAAAAAACTGGCAAACTGAATCCAGCAGCACATCAAAAAGCTTACCCACCACAATCAAGTCAGCTTGATCCCTGGGATGCACGGCTGGTCCAACATACACAAATCAATAAACGTAATCCATCACATAAACAGAACCAAAGTCAAACACCACATGATTATCTCAATAGATGCAGAGAAGGGCTTCAACAAAAGTCAACAGCCCTTCATGCTAAAGACTCACAATAAACTAGGTATTGATGGAGTGTGTCTCAAAATAATAAGAGCTATTTATGACAAACCTACAGCCAATATCATACTAAATGGGCAAAAACTGGAAGTATTCCCTTTGAAAACCAGCACAAGGATGTCCTCTCTCACCACTCCTATTCAACATAGTATTGGAAGTTCTGGCCAGGGCAATCAGGCAAGAGAAAGAAAGGGTATTCAATAAGGAAATGAAGAAGTCAAATTGTCTCTATTTGCAGATGACATGATTGTATATTTAGAAGACCCCATCGTTTCAGCCCCAAATCTCCTTAAACTGATAAGCAACTTCAGCAAAGTCTCAGGATACAAAATCAATGTGCCAAACTCACAAGCATTCCTATACAACAATAAGAGACTTAAAGAGAGCCAAATTGAGAACCAACTGCCATTCACGACTGCTACAAAGAGAACAAAATACCTAGGAATACAACTAACAAGGATGTGAAGGACCTCATCAAGAAGAACCACAAACCACTGCTCAAGGAAATGAGAGGACACAAACAAATGGAAAAACGTTCCGTGCTTATGGTTAGGAATAATCAATATTGTGAAAATGGCCATACTGCCCAAAGTAATTTATACATTCAGTGCTATCCCCATCAAGCTACCTACTTTCTTCACAGAATCAGAAAAAAACTACTTTAAACTTCATATGGAACCAAAAGAGAGCCTGCATAGTCAAGACAATCCTAAGCAAAAAGAACAAACCTGGAGGCATCACACTACCTGACTTCAAACTATACTACAAGGCTACAGTAATCAACACAGCATGGTACTGGTACCAAAACAGATACATAGACCAATGGAAAAGAACAGAGGCCTCAGAAATAACACCACACATCTACAACCATATGATCTTTGACAAGCCTGACAAAAACAAGCAATAGGGAAAGGATTCCCTATTTAATAGATGGTGTTGGGAAAACTGGTTAGCCATATGCAGAAAGCTGAAACTGGATCCCTTCCTTACACCTTATACAAAAATTAACTCAAGATGGGTTAAAGACTTAAACATAAGACCTAAAACCATAAAAACCCTAAACAAAACCTAGGCAATACCATTCAGGACATAGGCATGGGCAGAGACTTCAAGATTAAAATACCAAAAGCATTGGCAACGAAAGCCAAAATAGTCAGATGGGATCTAATTAAACTAAAGAGCTTCTGCGCAGCAAAAGAAACTATCATCAGTGTGAACAGACAACCAACAGAATGAGAGAGAATTTTTGCAATTTCTCCATCTGACAAAGGGCTAATATCCAGAATCTATAAAAAACTTAATCAAATTTACATAAAAAAACAAACCACCCCATCAGAAAGTGGGAAAAGTATATGAACAGACACTTCTCCAAAGGAGACATTTATGCAGCCAATAAACATATGCAAAAAAGATAATCATCACTGGTCATTACAGAAATGCAAATCAACACCATAATGAGATATCATCTCATGTCAGTTAGAATGGTGATCATTAAAAAGTCAGAGACAACAGATGCTGGAGAGGATGTGGAGAAAAAGGAACGCTTTTACACTGTTGGTGGGAGTGTAAATTCGTTCAACCACTGTGAAAGACAGTGTGGCAATTCCTCAAGGATCTAGAACTAGAAATACCATTTGACCCAGCAATCCCATTACTGGGTATATACCCAAAGGAGTATAAATCATTACATTATAAAGACACATGCACACGTATGTTTATTGAGGCACTGTTCACAACAGCAAAGACCTGGAACCAACCCAAATGTCCATCAATGACAGACTGGATAAAGAAAATGTGGCACATATATACCATAGAATACTATGCAGCCATCAAAAAGGACGAGTTCATGTCCCCTGCAGGAACATGGATGAAGTTGGAAACCATCATTCTCAGCAAACTAACACAAGAACAGAAAACCAAACACCTCATGTTCTCACTCACAAGTGGGAGTTGAACAATGAGAACACATGGACACAGGTAGGGGAATATCACACAGTGGGGCGTGTCGGGGGGTGGGGGTCTCTAAGGGAGGGAGAGCATTAGGAGAAACACCTAATGTAAAGGACGGGGTGATGGATGCCGCAAACCACCATGGCACGTGTACACCTATGTAACAAACGTGCACATTCTGCACATGTACTCCAGAACTTAAAGTATAATTAAAAAAAAATAATAATAAAAAATAAATTCCTGCCACAGTTTTGGTTCCTAAAAGTGTACCAGCAATAAAAACACATTAGGTTCAGTAATCCTTATAAACAGTTTTTACAATTTCTTTCCACAGCCTTTGTCTTCAAATTCATTGGGAAAACAGAACTGACATGAAGAATGAGTACCTAAAAAAGACAATGTTTCTTTTTATCCTTGAATCACATAAATGATAAAAAAAAAAATACATCGCTTGAGTTTTATATGGACAGACATGGGAACATAGGAAAAGAAAACTCCATTTTAAAGAAAATAGTCACCTTATTAGAATTAAGGATTATCTCCACAATTATATCAATAACTCCTCTCCTAACATGAAATAGTCTAGACAATCTAATTTTCTATGGTATATAATGTACTTTTTCTGTCACAAAATACCTTAAGTGAAGAAAAGGGAACTTACCTTGACAGGAAACCACATGCAGGAAGCTCCTTCAGGATACATGAATAACCCATATTCTGGCTGGGTCATTTCTTCAAACAGACAGTAGAAGAACTCTGTCTTGACTCCTCCAAGGTCATACCCAATTTCTCCACTAAATGAAACCTGAGGAAACAGAGCAAATAATACATCACTTCCAAGACTCCATACTGCTATGCATGAAGTCTCAATCAATAATAGTAAACAGCTAACATTAATTGTGGGCCCAAGTATTTGGCAGGCACTGAGGTAAGTATCTTACATTATCATATTTAACCTCTACATTAATTCTATGAGATAATGAGGCCTTGAGAATTTAAATAACTTTTCTAAGTTTATGCAACAGCTAGATGGTGTAACCTAGTTTTTTTGTTTGTTTGTTTTATTTTTTGAGATAAGAGTCCCACTCTGTTGTCCAGGCTGGAGTATAATGGCCTGATCTCAGCTCACTGCAACCTCCAACTCCCAGGTTTAAGCGACCCTCCTGCCTCAGCCTCCCAAGTAGCCGGGGTTACAGATGTATACCACCAAGCCGAGCTAATTTTTTTGTATTTTAAGTAGAGACCGAATTTCAATGTGTTGGCCAGGTTGCTAACTCCTGACCTCAAGTGATCTGCCCACTTCGGACTCCCAAAGTGCTGGGATTAAAGGCATGAGCCATCTTGACCCGCCTACAGCTTAGATTTAATCCTATGTCAGTCAAATCCCAGAGCCTAAAGTTTTTACCACTAAATTGACCTCAACTGTCATCACTATTATAGTTATCAGATCCAAGTATAATGAAAATAAACAGAAAGAAGAAGTCATAAAAATCTGCAGGGTGTGGTGGCTCACACTTGTAATCCTAGCACTTTGGGAGGCTGTGGTGGACAAATTATGTGAGATTAGGAGTTCATGAGCAGTCTGGCCAACATGGTGAAACCCTGTCTCTACTAAAAATACAAAAATTAGCTGGGTGTGGTGGTGCATACCTATAATCCCAGCTACTTGGGAGGCTGAGGCAGGATAATCACTTGAAACCGGGAGATGAAGTTTGCAGTAAGCTGAGGTCACACCACTGCACTTCAGCCTGGGCGACAGAGTAAGACTGTCTAAAAAAAAAAAAAGAAAAAGAAAAGAAAAGAAATCATAAAAACCAGGATGTTCAAAAAACCAGAGCACACATAAGTGTTTTCTAAAGTGGCTATTTGCTCCCTGAGGAGGCTGCATCCCTACTGCTGACACCAATCCCTCCCAAGAGGATGCCATTATAACCCTTCAGTTACCCCTCCATTCCTGCCTTTCCTTGGAATTCTTCACTTCTGTTTATAAATATGTTAAGGTCCCCCTTATTCTTAAAAGGAAAAAAAAACCCAACACATTGTCTCCAATACAGACACACAGCTCCTTCTCCTCTTGCCAAACTGCGGAGATATACGCCAAACTTCCAAACCCACTTCTCCACTTAAATGGTTCTCTCCAAGAGGACCAAGAAGTGTAAATCCCCAAGCTCCAAGGATTTTTTCTTATATCTCATCTCCTTGATGTCGTTAACTCATTTTCCACTTCTAATCATGTCCTTTTTATTGACACACTTTTCTCCCTTGCTTTCTCATATGAAGCACTCTTTACAGTTGTATTGCTCTTCTTTTGCCTGCTGGCTTAGTTTCTAGAAACAGACTTGCAGACAGTTCTATCCTGGCACTTCTGTCCTTTCTCTCTGTTCTTTCCCTGGATGCTCATTTTCTCCTTAAACGTTACCACTTGTAGGTATATAACCTTCAGATCCAATGCATTTTCTCTCCTGATTGACAGTCACTTCCAAAGGCCTGTTCAACATTTCTACCCAGATGTTCCACTAGCATCCCCACAAAGCTCCTATCAGCTTCTTTATTTAGATGCATGCCTCTTCCATTCCTTGCAGTGAAATAGTGAAATATTTAAAATCTCTGTAGCAAGATCGGGTGTCAAACTCTTCCCCCTCTTCTTACTATGGACAAGCTGCCTGATCTCATAAAGCCTCAGTTTTCCCACAAGATTATCAGAAAGATTACAGGGGTCACACATGTAAAATGCCTCACACAGTACCTGCAAATGGTAAATGCTCACTTAGTGTTACCTGAATTTAAAAACTGGATGAATGATATATAAAAATGGAACTCAAATAACTGAGTGGACTGATTGACTGGTGAAGGACAGAATCACATAACAAGTTTTCTAATGAAGATTTCATCTCCTTCAGAAGGAATCTCACTCTATTGCCCAGGCTGGAGTGCAGTGGTGCAATCTTGGCTCACTGCAACCTCCACCTCCCCAGTTCAAGCGATTCTCGTGCCTTGGCCTCCCAAGTAGCTGGGATTACAGGTGCCTGTCACCATGCCCAGCTAATTTTTGTATTTTTAGTACAGTTAGGGTGTTATCATGTTGGTTAGGTTGATTTTGAACTCCTAACCTCAGGTGATCTGCCCACCTCGGCCTCCTAAAATGCTAGGATTACAGGCATGAGCCACTGCATCTGGCTGCAATATACTTTTAAATCAGTATCTTGAGACTTAGTAAAGTCAATCTTTCTTTAATCTGAGTAGACGTGATAAACTAGGGTCTCCAATCAAAAATATTCTATTTACTAAATATTATCAGGCCAATTTCTATCTGTCTTGATTAAGCAGGAAGTCTAGTTTCTGATGGCTGGGCCCATCCTGGCTCTGATGCTTATCAGTTGGGTTAGTCTTGGGTAAGTTACCTAATAGTTCTGTACCTCAGTTTCCCCATCTGTAAAATGAGGGAAAAACATAACCTACCCCATAGTGTTGTTGAAAAGGTTAAACAAATATGTATAAAGGACTTACAACAGTTCTTGGCACAAGGACAGCACTCAAAATAGCTACTGGTCATTATTATTTGGTATCAAATATTTACTAATAAGACAAATTATATAGTAATTAAACCAAAAACCATTTAAGGGGCTTCTAAAGATGGTCAAATCTACAATTAGACCCCCAAAATAACCATAGGAATTAAAGAGAAAGTTCTCTCATCTACAAAGCAATTTAGGTTATTATTATTTTTATTTTTTTTGCAACAGAGTCTCACTCTGTCACCCAGGGTGGAGTGCGGTGATATGATCTGAGCTCACTGCAACCTCTGCTTCCTGGGTTCAAGCGATTCTCAATGTCTCAGCCTCCTGAGTAGATGGGATTACAGGCATCTGCCACCACACATGGCTAATTTTTGTATTTTTAGTAGAGATAGGGGTTCATCATGTTGACCAGGCTGGTCTTGAACTCCTGACCTCAGGTGATCCATCCGTTTTGGCCTCCCAAAGTGCTGAGATTACAGGTGTGAGCCACTATGTCTGGCCCAAATTAGGTTATTGCATAAGAAGAGAAACAACCCCTTAATTCTCTATGCTAACCCCATCTTGCTAAAACCCTTAAAGGGTGGTGCTAGCAAGGCTAGGCCAGACCTTAGAACGGACTGGACCTCTTAGGGCCAACACTGAACTAACTACCTGAGCAGGGTGGGGGGAGAGCAACCAATCTGTTTGCTGCTCCTTAGCCCAAACACACTGAGTGAGTGCCCACAGCTACCACCCAAAACTCAAAGGTAACCAGGGAATTAGAGGAACACCAAAATAAACAACATCTGTGGCAAAGGAAGATAACTTCCTCTCTATGAAACCCTTTGTTACATTATTTTGTTTTTCTTTTCTTAGTAGCAAAAATATTAAGAATTATACTTTACCCATAACTCTTTCCTCAGGTCTTCATTCTCAAATTGACTTAGCTGATTCAAAACATCCTCAATCAAGTGATTCCTTCTGACTGTTAGATCAAACGTGGGCAGCAAAGCAAATTCGGACTCTCTTTCTTCCTCAACTGCTGCCCACCTAAAATAAGCTTTATGTTTTTTACCCTAAGAAAAGAGAAATATTACACTTCATTTTACCATTGGCCCTAAGTAAAAATTTGTATAGCAGAATAAACTGGTTCTGCTTATAAGTACAGGTCACGTTTATGAAAAGAACCTTATATCCACCACTAAAGATAAATGATAACATCATTATTCGGTCTCAGTGAGCAGAGAAAACAAGAGGCCTGAAGAACGAAAGCCTTTGTGGAGCCAATCTGGATGAGCAAGTAAATTACCAACTGGAGGTTTTATCAGACCACTTTCTTGTATACACACAATTATTAATGCTTAAGATACCAAAGCTACTTATCATTGACAGGCTAAGAGATTTACTGGTATCCACTGAAACAGTGCACTGTAACATGATGCTCTCATTCAGAAGAGAAGTTCAGATGTTTAGAAAGCAAACAGTCTGCAGGAAAAATCTAGGTATGAGAGACCTCTCCAGAGAGCCTATTCCAGGGGAAAAAACCTAGACAAGAGATTTTAAGGGAGAATTTACCTAAGAAGTTAATCAAACAGAGACAGGGTTGGGGGGTGTAAAGGGACAGACAGACAGATATAATGTTCATTCTGAAACCAAATGGCAATTTTTAGGTCATTAAAGTCTATGGCTTTTAGCAGAAAAAGGAGTAGTTAAATATTGCTTCTATGAAATTATCTCTGGAACCTTGTTTTAAAATCAGGAGAGAATAGGTTATAAGAGTTGATGCAAAACCAAGTTCTTATATCTTTTTTCTTTGATTTCCCTTTGTTAAATATTTGATTACAGTCATACTCAGAACTCATAAATCAATTTCCCATTTTATTATGGTAAATGCATTAAATAAACTATCTGTTTTAAGGAAATATATCTGAATATTATACAAACATGTAACACATGACTGCATATGTAAAAGTAATAATAATACCCAACCCTTTGGGTACTTTGTGTAAGGCAGCTTTACCAATATTAAGAAATTTAATCCTTATAAAAATGCAATGACACAGGGATTATCTGATACAATTCCTCGGGAATTTTCAATTGCCTAATTTTACTACTTTGGTGGTATAAGTATTTTGTAAATATTTGATAAAATATCGAACCACTTTGCTGGATATATCTGCAAACATAACCACCTCAGCTAGTAACAATACCATACACAGAAAAGGGGGGAATCTATTCAAACCTTTATTATGGCACCATCACAGAGTAGTAGCCATTTACTGGGTTCCTAATTTCAGGAATCCTCTGCCACCTCTATTCCTGCTACTGTATCTTTTCATTAGATTGAGCCTCCTTACATATTGGTGCTACTCCTAATCAACCCCAAGTTTATTATGCCTCTTTGAATACTACCCAGAATACTACAGGCCACCACTGTCAACTTCAGGTAAAAACCTGATAACTGGGCTAGTTGTCAAAGCTCCATCCCTTGCTACCAAGGACCTAATTTGCCTCAAGATAAAGATGATCCAAATTATGACACTCTGCCTTGCCTTCTTCATTAGAGTGTAAGCTCCTTGAATGCCACAACCATTGATTTCACTGGTGGGTGGCTCTCTTATCACCCCAAAACACTGCATGATTAAGAAGGCACTTAGCATGTGATTTATTCTAATGAAGACAAACAAATAGGCATACATACCTGTATTTTTACAAGTGTGTCTGTACGTAGTAGTTTAATTTTTGACAGATTATTAAAGATAAATGGAAAGTGACTGAATATGACACAGCATCCTACATTTTCTAAAGTATCCTAAAAATGGAAATGACAATATTTCTGATGAGTTAAAGGACAGAGAAACCTTACACTTTACCTTATAGCCCTACACCCCTAATGGTTTAAGGTCTCAGTACTTCCAGTGAAAACAATCCCAAATTACCGGTCCATAGTTTTAATAGAAAATGTATTTTATACGTATCAATGAAAGGTATATAAACAGAATGTTCAGTACCCATTTAATTTAGCAATTAATTATAAACTTCAGATGGTTTCCCAAAGTCTGTTCTGCTGAAACCTGAGTTTCTGCTATGTGAATTAGAATTATGCTAGGTGGTTGCATTTGGTAAATGGGAAATGATATAACATGGGTAGCTGGTTAGCTCACACATGAATTTTGCTGGGCAAGAGTTGATGTGCTAGAAGGAGAATTATAACCTTCACCTTCAGGGAAAGGAAAAGACTTCGGATCAGCTGCTACGTTGGCAGCAGGAGCCCTTCAACTGTATTTTCAGAAAATAAAGGAGTGCTTATGCCCAAGACACCCTTCCCACAGGGTCTTGGCTCTTGGCTCCTGATGAGTCTCACTGCTTTCCATAGCCACTTTAAGGGTATCAGAGTTCCACTAGTCCTTCTCTAATTACAGTGTAGATAAATTTCTACCCTTTCGTTTTCGTGCATTTCTCATACTCCCACAGTCATCCCCCAAGGTGTCAACCACTTTTTTGCTGGAACTCTGACTACAAAATTGCATAGATTTTGAGGAGTCTTAACATTTCCCACAAGCCTTGCTATTTCTATTGTGCAATTTTGCAGAGGACAAAAAATGCCTGTATTAACTCACTGATTAACAATTTCTCCATTTAAACATGTTATACTTACCACAGTCATTTTCCACAAGTACCTTCTGCATACTTCTACAAAAAAATCGAGACGGTACAAGAGTTCATCTACTTGGAAAACACTTTCAGGCAGTAGACATTTCATCTGGTTTACCTTAAATAAAACATGACTTGTGAGAAAGTGTTATATTTAAAGACAATTTTGCTTAATGGCAGTTAGATTATCTGATTAAATTGTAAATGAAACACTCTTATAATGACCAGAAAAAAATTCTATCCAATTCCTCCATTTGCCAAAGCCGCAAATTTTCATGGACATAAAGAGTATCTAAATTTTAATAGTAGAGATTGACAATAGAATGATAAACTTCTAGTTATTTTTATTTCATAGGAAATGTTAAAGAACTTTCAATGAAAAGAAAAAAAAAAAACAGTGCAATATCCTAAAGCACTCCGAGGTCCAGGTCTTCATGTCTTAGTCTTTAGAACTTAGCAATATACAACTTCTAGATGTTCACTCTGCTGAGGCATTTGTGGAGCATTCCCCTACTGAGAGGAAATTTTCCAACCATCTATCCTATGATATGATCAGGGTTATTATGACACACACATGAATGCCCTGACATGTCGGTGAAGACAATGAATAATAATGACACTAGACACTTTGGACATTTGTGACTGTTAGTATTTGACCTGGATGGGTATTATCCTAGAATAAATTACTCTCAGGTGGTTTTCTAAAAACTCATCTTGGTTGTATGCACTGAAACCATGTGTCTAGAATGTTCTTATTGACTCTCGTCCAAACTTCAACTGTTCCAGGCTTCCCAGTACAGGTTTCTCATCCGAAGCCTGGTGAGACTGTTTCACCTGTAACTATGGCTCTCTAGACCTGATGATCTTGGCCTTGCATCATCATTATTAGCCTCAAGGTCCCCAGGGTCACAGAGAAAGTGGGTGCTTCATCTTCATGGTTCCTGGTGGCCCCCTGCTGAGGTGGGGGCCTGACAAATATCAAATATTCTGATGTCACCTGTTAAGGTCAAAGGACAAAGCAGGATCCCCTGAAGAATTCTTTTGTTGCTGCTTCAGTATTTCTTATGATTCTCTCTGTAAGTGGCAAAAACTTTTAGAATACACCTTCCCAGAGCTCTTCAACAAATTTATCAATTTTTCCAGTTATATGAAGAAGGTCAGTGGTAGCTTGATGGGGATAGCACTGAATCTATAAATTGCTTTGGGCAATATGGCCATTTTCACAATACTGATTCTTTCTAACTATGAGCATGAAATGTTTTTCCATCTGTTTGTGTCCTCTCTTATTTCCTTGAGCAGTGATTTGTAGTTCTCCTTGAAGAGGTCTTTCACATCCTTTGTTAGTTGTATTCCTAGGTATTTTATTCTCTTTGTGGCAATTCTGAATGGGAGTTCGTTCATGATTGGCTCTCTGTCTGTTATTGGTGTATAGGAATGCTTGTGATTTTTGCACATTGACTTTGTATCCTGAGACTTTGCTGAAGTTGCTTATCATCTTAAGGAGATTTTGGGCTGAGACAATAGGGTCTTCTAAATATACAATCATGTCATCTGCAGATAGAGACAATTTGACTTCCTCTTTTCCTAACTGAATACCCTTTATTATGGAACAAAAAAAGAGCCCGCATAGCCAAGACAATCCTAAGCAAAAAGAACAAAGCTAGAGGCATCACACTACCTGACTTCAAACTATACTACAAGGCTACAGTAATCAAAACAGCATAGTACTGGTACCAAAACAGAGATATAGACCAATGGAAAAGAACAGATGCTTCAGAAGAAACACCACACATCTACAACCATCTGATATTTGACAAACCTGACAAAAACAAGCAATGGGGAAAGGATTCCCTGTTTAATAAACAGTGTTGGGAAAACTGGCTAGCCATGTGCAGAAAGCTGAAACTGGACCCTTTCTTACATCTTATACAAAAATTAACTCCAGATGGATTAAAGATTTAAACATAAGACCTAACACTATAGGCGAGGTGTGGTGACTCATGCCTGTAATCCCAGAACTTTGGGAGGCTGAGGGAGGTGGATCACCTGAGGACAGGAGTTCAAGAACAGCCTGGGCAACATGGTGAGACCCTGTCTCTATAAAAAAATAATTAATAAAAATAAATAATAATAATAAAAAAAAGACCTGACACCATAAAAACCTTAGAAGAAAACCTAGGCAATACCATTCAGGACATAGGCATAGGCAAGGACTTCATGACTAAAATACCAAAAGCAATGGCAACAAAAGCCGAAATAGACAAATGGGATATAATTAAACTTAAGAGCTTCTGCACAGCAAAAGAAATAAGCATTAGAGGGAACCAGCAACCAACAGAATGGGAAAAAAATTTTGCAATCTACCCATCTGACAAAGGGCTAATATCCAGAATCTACAAAGAACTAAAACAAATTTTCAAGTAAAAAAGAACCCCATCAAAAAGTGGGCAAAGGATATAAACAGACACTTTTCAAAAGAAGACACTTATGCGGCCAACAGACATATGAAAAAATGCTCATCATCACTGGTCATTAGAGAAATGCAAATCAAAACAACATTGAGATACCATTTCACACCAGTTAGAATGGTGATCTTTAAAAAGCTGGAGACAACAGATGCTGGAGAGGATGCAGAGAAATAGGAATGCTTTTACACTGTTGGTGGGAGTGTAAATTAGTTCAACCATTGTGGAAGAAAATGTGGCGATTCCTCAAGGATCTAGAATGAGAAATACCATTTGACCCAGCAATCCCATTACTGGGTATATACCCAAAGGATTATAAATCATTCTATTATAAAGACACATGCACATGTATGTTCATTGTGGCACTGTCTACAATAGCAAAGACCTGGAACCAACCCAAATGCGCATCAGTGATAGACTGGACAAAGAAAATGTGGCACATATACACCATGGAATACTATGCAGCAATCAGAAAGGATGAGTTCATGTCCTTTGCAGGTACATGGATAAATCTAGAAACCATCATTCTCAGTAAACTAACACAAGAACAAAAACCAAACACTGCATGTTCTCACTCATGGGTGGGTGCTGAACAGTGAGAACCCACAGACATAGGGAAGGGAACATCACACAATGGGGTCTGTTGGGGGGTGGGACAGCAGGGGATGGGGAGACTGGGGAGGGATAACACTGGGAGAAATACCTAATGTAGGTGATGCGGGGGATGGAGGCAGCAAACCACCATGGCATGTGTATACCTATGTAACAATCCTGCAAGATCTGCCATGTACCCCAGAACTTAAAGTATAATAAAAAAAAATTCTCAATTTTTCAAACACAAATTATTTTCCACTAACCTTTCCCTTTTGTAAAAAAAACCTTTTAAAATAGTTGAAAATACCCATGGTTTTTAATAGTATGGCAGATTTTTTTCTTCAGTACTATGATATATTAGGTACCCCGACCCACTGAAAAGACCTAGAAATGTAGGAACAGCTGTAACAAATATTTTTAAAGGCATTACTGATTTTTTAGGTAGATATGGAATCATCAGGTCGATAACTAAGTGAAAGTGGCATTTGTCTTGAGAGTATCTGCCCTACCTGGTGAATGTGAACTTCAATTTTCAATGGCTGGGGCTTTGGGGAAAGGAGACAAATCCCAGATTGTTCAAATTAGGGAAAGCTTATTTATTTCTAGTTTATCCTCACTGAAGTTATCCCCATAAGTCTGAGATCCAAAAGGGTTAAACCTTCAGGGGAGGATGAACTAGAAAGAAACAAGCTCTTTCCTCCACCACTATATTGATCACCTCCACCTTGATCCCAAGACCGTAAGGCAAACTGTTCCAAGTTCAAATGGTGCTGAGCTGGGGAAAAATTATCCCCCACAGAATCTGTAATTACAAAAGAGCTCTCCTTCAACTTTGCCACCAAATTCATACCACCTAAAGATCTAAAAAGCTTCAAGCAAAAAATTTAAAGTACTACCAAACTGGTGGCATCTCCAAGAGCCTGGCAGAAGAAAATTCTCCATGAAGAAACCCAGCCCTCAGAAAATTCCAAAATATAAATTCCATGGAAAATAGACAGCTCTCACACATACATAAATCACAAAATATGTGATAATAAAGACACCAGGAGGAAGATTCAGCAGAAATTGACCTGTAAAGACTCCAGATACCTGAGTTAGAAGGCATATATATTCAGATAAATAAAAGGAAAGGGTGAAAAGAATGAAGAAATTATAAATAATTGAATAAGGAACTAATTTAAAGAACAAATCAGAGCATGTAAAAATGAAAAACATTAATATTTGAAATAAAAACTTAAAAGGCAGGCCAGGCATGGTGACTCACAACCGTAATCCTAGCACTTTGGGAGGCTGAGGCAGGTGGATCATTTAGATTTAAAATGTGGAACAACTTCTAAAAGGAGGTAATATCCTTAACCTACAAAGATTATTTTCAAAAACCTAATAGAAGGCCACATGCAGTGGCTCATACCTATAATCCCAGCACTTTGGGAGACCAAGGAGGGAAAATCACTAGAGGTCAGGAGCTGGAGACCAGCCTGGGCAACAGGGTGAAATCTCATCTCTACTAAAAACGCAGATATTTGCCAGGCAGGGTGGCGCATGCCTATATTCCTAGCTACTCAGGAAGCTGAGGCACAATGACAGCTTGAACCCAGGAGGCAGAAGCTGCAGTAAGCCAAGATCATGCCACTGTACTCCAGTCTAAGCAACAGGGTGAGACTCTGTCTAAAAAAAAAAAAAAAAAAAGCCTATAGGGCCAGTGTGGTAGTTCACCTGAGTAATCCTCGCACTTCGGGAGACCGAGGCCAAGGCAGGAGAATCACTTGAGGCCAGGAGCTCAAGACCAGCCTGGACAACATAGTTAGGCCCTGTCTCTCCAAAAATGAAAAAATTAGCTGGGCATGGTGGGGCACGTCTGTAGTCCCAGCTACTCAGGAGGCTGAGGTAGGAGAATCACTTGAGACCAGGAGTTCAAGGCTGCAGGGAGCCATGATTGCACCACTGCACTCCAGCATGGGCACAGGGTGAGACTCCCAATGAAAAAACCAACAACAAAAACCCCCTGCAAGTAAATGATACTAAAAGCATTTCCTTTGGAAACTAAGAATACTCCCTGAAAAAAAATTTCCTTTAAAATCACAAACAAGTACCCACTGTTACCCCACTTCTATTTAACATCACATTAGAAGCCCTAGCTAGAGCAAGATTAAAAAAAAAAGTAATAAAATGTATATGGACTGGAAAGAGAAAACATTATCAAAAATTCAAAAGAATCTATAGGTAAATGCTAGATATAACATGAGGATTTGGCAAGTTTGCTGAATATAGGAATCAATATTCAGGCCAAGTGCAGTGGCTCATGTCTGTAATCCCAGCACTTTGGGAGGCAGAGGCAGGCAGATCACTTGAGGCCAGGAGTTTGAGACCAGCCTGGTCAACATGGAGAAACCCTGTTTCTACTAAAAATACAAAAATTAGTCAGGCGTGGTGGTGTGCACCTGTAACCCCAGCTACTTGGAAGGCTGAGGCAGGAGAATTGCTTGAACCCGGGAGGTAGAGGTTGCAGTGAGCAGAGATCACACCACTTGCACTCCAGCCTGGGCAACAGAGGGCAACGCTATCTCAAAAAAAAATCAATATTCAAAAATCAATGCATTCCTATACACCAATAACAGGATAACATAGTTTTTAAGACACTATAATAGTCTGACAAATGTTAAAACAACTAATAAATGGAGAAACAGATGCTATGAAGATTCACAACAGTAAAGATGTCAATATAATAAAAGACAGAAATATAAACAGTTAAATATATATTCAATATAACTCCAATCAAATTCCCAATAAGACTTTGTGTGTGTGTGCGTGTGTTTATGTATAACTTGACAAGGCAATTTAGAAATATACGTGGTAAATTTTTAGCAAAATTTTGTATGTCAAAAATATTCAAGATGCACTTCAAAAACAAGGCTGGGGTACTTCTCTTACTAGATATGAATGATCAATGTACAGCCATTCAAAAGGACCCATGATACAGCAGAGAGCCCAAAACTGAATCCCACACATGGAAACTTGATTCACACCGGTTTGCATTGCCTATCAATGGAGAAAAGGTAGCATTTCAATAAGTGCTGCTAGGGTAACTTTTTCATATTAAAAATAATAAAAATAAATTTACAGTAATTTTCCAATTGTATCAAACACTAAATTGTGAAGTGAAAAGCTAAAGTCAATATTTCCTTTAGACTTCGATAAGAGTGTCCTCTGCCCCAGGACCATGGTTCTTACAGTGGCTCTCCTCCAGCCAAGCCTCTTCTCCCAGAATAAGGGGTCTGCAAGGCCGGGAGGACCTGTCAATTTTCAGCCCACACAACCCCTTACAGACTGGGCTGCATATACTCAAGACCTGGGATTCCATGTTCAAATGGTTAAAAGCCTGCTTCTGGCATAGGCCTCTTCCCCTGCTTGGTCTCTGGAGAGTGGACCTCAGGGTTGGCTAATGAGGGTCTGTGGTGGGAGGCGGGATGAAACTCAGACATATGGGCTGAGGGGTCCACATACGAGCATGTGACACCCCTTGTGGTGTGGGACAAAACCAAGGCAGAAAAAGAAGAGCAGAGAGCTGCATTTATGCCACCACATGTCCTCCCCTGTCATTATGAAGGTTTACTAGTCAAAGGAGGAGGACAGTATATTTTATTTTAATAGTTTGTTAGGTTTTTAACCTTTTAAGTATTAGACATATGGTATACAGGCCTCCATTTGTATTCTTCCTCTGGCCTTGGCTATTGTCCTCTTAGAAGACTATCTAGGGCAGCTTTGGAGACCGAATCCAGCCTTCTGCTATTTTTAGAGTCTTACTGGAAGATAGCCATGCCCATTCATTTTTGTTTTGCCTGTGGCTGCTTTTATGCTACTCCTGAAGAGCCAAATAACTGCAATTGTGACAGAAACCACGTGCCTAATAAAGCCTAAAATATTTACTATCTGGTCCTTTCCAGAAAAAAGCTGCTGACCCATGATTTAGGGTAATAATTTACAACATTTAAGGGATAAAAAAGTTTAAAACAAGACATAAGGAGTAAAATTATATAAAGAAATGGACAAACTTATCTACATTAAAATTAAGACTGTGTGTTTGCCAAAAAACACCATAAAGCAAAAGACAAGCTATAACTGAGATACAATATTTGCAACACATATCACTGACAAAGAAGTAAAATTCAAAATAAAAATATTTCCTATAAGCAGTAAGAAAAAGTCAAATATTGGCCAGGCACAGTGGCTCATACCTGTAATACCAGGACTTTGAGAGGCTGAGGTGGGTATATCATTTGAGCTCAGGAGTTTGAGACCAGCCTGGGCAACATGGTGAAACCCCATCTCTACAAAAAATATAAAAATTAGCCAGGTGTGGTGGCTTGCACACATAGTCCAAGCTACTCTGGAGGCTGAGGTGAGAGGATTGCTGGAGCCCGGCAGGCAGAGGTTGCAGTGAGCCGAGACTGTGCCACTGCACTCCAGCCTGGATGACAGAGGGAGGGAGAACCTGTTTCAAACAAAACAAAACAAAACCCTTTATAGGAGAAAAGAAGTTTAAAACAAGATACAAGGAGTAAAAGTTATAAATAAATGGATTGACAAATTTATCTACAATAAAATTAAGAATGTGAGTTTCTCAAAAGACACCATAAAGCAAAAGACTGGGATACAATATTTGCAACACATATCATTGACAAAGAAATAGTATCCAAAATAAAAGAATTCTATAATCAGTAAGAAAAAGTGAAACATCATTTAAATGAACATTTAAATAAACAAAAGTGAAGGATAGGCATTCCACAGAAGAGAAAAAAATATTGCAATTATAAACATGAATATATGCTCTAGTGCTTTTGAACCAGCAAAATACAATTAAAACCATAATTTGGTATCACTTCATATCAAAAATATTTTCAAAATCTTAAAGTCAGACATGGAGCAACAGGAATTCCTATCATCTCCTGGAGAAAATTTAAATTGATCCGACTGCTTTTGAAGTTTATTACTACCAGTAAAGAACAACACACACATATCTGTAACGTCAATTCTAGAATTAGGTGTGAAAACCAGAACCAACTCGACACATAAAGACTGAGAGATATGTGCAAAAATGTTTATGGTGGCATGTTTTCTAACAGAGGAATCCCCAACAAAACACAAACACACACATATACAGACACACACACACACACACACACACACACACACACAAATTGCAAACAGCATATATATATATATATCCATCAATATTGGAATGGATAAGCAAAGTATGGTATATTCATACAATGAACTATAATGCAGAGTGAAAACGAATGAAATACAGTCATAAGCATTAATCTGAATCAATCTATAAAACAATGTTGAGTATAAGAAGCATGTATTCCATTCACCTAAATTTTGGAAAAGCAAAATTAAACAACATAATTTCTAGAGATACATATACATAGTTCTAAAATAGTAAGAGCAAAGGAATGATTATCCCAAAATCCAGGATCACAGCTACCTCTGGGAGATGGAGGGGTTGTAATCCATGAGGGGTACACAGGCATTTCTAAAGTGCTAGAAATGTTTTAACATGGGTGGTAAGGACACTAATCTTTATTTTATTATATTTCTTTGAATTCTACATAGGTATTATATATATTATTCTTTCATACGTATGATGTAATTCACAAAAAACAACATTAAAAAAAAATAGCAACAGAAACTTTGTATGTCTCATATAAGTCTGCTTAAGATCCAAGCCAGTTGAAAGCAAGGTAATTTTTATTGCTAAAGTCATGGAGGTTTCTAAAGGAACTCTTACCCTGTGCAGCTTCTTCAACATTTCTAGGAGAGCTTGAACATTACCATTCTCCTCAGCATTCTCATTCCAGTAATCCAACTGACATATGATGGCTGTTTTAAACATCTGGACCAGTTTGCTGAAAGTGGATTCTTGCAGAGTTGCCCAATACTCTTCTGAGGAATGCAAAGAAAGTAAATTCTTTAAAAAATGAGTTTTACTGGTTTTTTTTTTTGTTGTTTTTGAGATGGAGTCTTGCCCTGTTGCCTAGGCTGGAGGGCAGTGACATGATCTCGGCTCACTACAACCTCTGCCTCCCAGGTTCAAGCGATCCTCCTGCCTCAGCCTCCCAAGTGGCTGGAATTACAGGAACCCACCACCATGCCTGGCTAACTTTTGTATTTTTAGTAGAGACAGCGTTTCACTATGTTGGCCAGGCTGGTCTTAAACTCCTGACCTCAGCTTCCCAAAGTGCTGGGATTACAGGCACGAGCCACTGCGCCCGGCCTATTGTGTATATTTGAGGTCTACAAAATGTAATGGGATACATATAAATAGTAAAATTGTTACTATAATGAAGCAAATTAAATTTTTTTTTGTAGGCCAGGCATAGTGGCTCACACCTGTAATCCCAGCACTTTAGGAGGCTGAGGCTGGTGGATTGCCTGAGCTCAGGAGTTTGGGTTCTGCCTGGTCAACGTGGAGAAACTCAGTCTCTACTAAAAGTACAAAAAATTAGCCGGGCATGGTGGCACATGTCTATTGGGGGGCTGAGGTGGGAGAATCACTTGAGACTGGGAGGTGGAGGCTGCAGTGAGCGGGGATTGTGCCAGTGCACTCCAACCTGGAGTAAATAAGACCCTGTCTCAAAAAAATATAATTATTTTTGTAATAAGAACAGCTAAAATCTACTTATTTAATAACAACAAAAAATCCCTAATATAATGTGTTATTAACTATAGTCCTCATCTTGTCCTGTCTATTAGATCTCTAAACTTGTTGATCCTACACATCTCCTTCTTTGTGTACATCTGCATCTTGCCCTGTTGCCTAGGCTGGAGGGCAGTGGCATGATCTCGGCTCACTACAATCTCTGCCCTACATCTCCCCATTTCCTTTCTACCCCCACCCACTAGTAACCACTATTGTATTATCTATTTCTGCATATTTGTCCTTTACAAAGAAGGTAAATTTAATTATCATGTAATTTCACTTAGATTCTTGAAGGTAAAAAGTAGGCAATATGTTTTGAAACACACAAAATACTTTAGCATATATTACAATTACAAAAGCACAATTGTGATAAACTTTTCACTGAATAAATACAATTACTATTACAAGTTTATAATTTAACTTCCTGGTCGCTTGAGCCCAGGAGTTCAAGATTACAGTGGCTACAACTGTACCACTGCACTCCAGCTAGGTAACAGAGTGAGGCCCTGTTTCTATTAAAAAATACTACTAATGATTTAACATCCTGAAAAAGTTCCTTTACAGCTAACAGAACTACAAACTTGATGTAATTCATTTGTGAAAAAGTATGAACAAAATAAATCACATTCTTTGCCCAGATGAAACAGTATATGTATAAAAAATTAAAAATTGTTCGTGATTGCACAACTTTCTTTTTGTGCTCCCAGTCTGAGATTTTTAACTCTTAGAAAACATATTTCAGGATTTTAAAAAAACAAAAATCATTTTAAAGTAGCTTTTCATCACTTACAATGTTACCCAGATTTAATAAAACATAAAGAATTGACATCCTTGAGCTGAATATGTTACGCATGTTAAAAATCCCATTAAACTCTTTCCATGCCCCTAGAACTAACTTGCAGTGCACTGGAAATATAGGGATAGGAGGAAACAGACTATCTGGATGTGTGACAGTGGACAGAAGACGACTGACCCGGATTCTTCCTATCTTTTTTTTTTTTGAGACAGAGTCTTGCTTTGTCACCAGGCTGGGGTGTAGTGGTGCAGTCATAGCTCACTGTAATCTTAAACCCCTGTGCTCAAGTAACCAGGATGTTGAATCTAAACTTGCAATAGCAATTGTATTTTTTCACTGAAAAGTTTATTACAAGTGTGCTTTTGGTACTGAATACCCACATGCCCTTTACCTTAGAGTCAGCAAAAATAACTATGTTGCCATTTGTGCTTTCTGTTTATGTACAGATTATATTGTATTTTAGCTGAACTATTTGAAAATAAGTTGAAGACATCAGATTTCACTCATAATATTTTACCATTCATCTAAGAACATGGAATCCGGCTGGGCATGTGGTATACTGTACTATTCTTTCAATTTCTTATTGCACATGGTATACTGTACTATTCTTTCAACTTCTCTGTGAAATTCCTAACAGTGAAAAGTTGGGGACTAAGGAAATCATGAACAAGCCATGTGTCTCCTTTCCAAGGAATCTAAAAAGGTACTACAATAATCTATTTTAGATGATCATGGTAATTAGTTACAGTATCTTTACAGTATCTAACAATAAGAACTAAAAAAATGAATATATTTATAATTATCTGTCTAAGTTTTGCCATAACTTTACTAGGCATGTCTTTTCATTGAGAAGAGAGGTAAAGTATCTTCAAATCATCAATCTTACCCAGAACCAGTGAAGACTGGTCACTCATTTTACAAACAGCCTTTGCAAATGCAACCACAATGCTCTCCCAGTTGTTAGAATTATGCATCACAGGACATTCTGGGAGAAGGAAGAAAACTTCTAAAGCTTCTTGGTATGGAGAATGAAATGGAAGTCTTTTGAGCAGATTATCTTTGAGGCATGTGGTTATCTGTGGTCAGAAAGGAACAGGGAAAAGCCATTCAAAATTCAGCAGAAACAGGGTGCAACTTAGGGTACTAAAACAAGTGTAGAGACTGGAATTTCATTCTACTACTAAATGAGAATAATCATTTAGTTTTTCTAAAACCCCTGTTTACATCCTTTCTAACCTAGCCTCCCAAATATTGGTGGTATTTAGGATATACAAGTATTCCTTCCATCAATTGCTGGGGTGAATGAAGGAGATCAAGAGAAAAATCACGTGTGCAAGAGTTACACTGGATGAACAATGGATTCAGAACTAATAAATGGCCTTCTCAATAATAAGTACCATTTTCTACCCTCTGGTTTACACTATCACACTTTGGGTTTCTTTTTAAAGAGTAAGAATGCATCAGAACTCCAAGAAGCAAAAAAAAAAAGAAAAAAGACAAATCCAACAATTTCAAGAATAAAATTTAACATGATTCTCATTATCTTCCATAAGAGCAACCGTCTCTACCACAAACTCTAATTTCTAGCCCCTCCAATCTCCTTGTAGTTTCCCCAATTCAGAATGTAACTGTTTAGGAAAAATTGGAATGGAATTCTGAATTGTTATGTGTGCTTAGATCACAGTAATCATTTGTCTAAAATCTCACTATGAAGATAAGCTAGTATTTATGGAGTACTTATTACTTGTCAATTATTATGCTAAATTATGCACACATATTAATTAGGTCATTTAACCCTTATCGTTTCTCCACCACATAGATTATATTAATCCCATTTTACAGATGAGAAATATGTGATTCAGAGAAATTAAGTAATTTGCTCAAGGTTACACAGCTAAGTGGGACTTTCTCTAGATCTTTCTGACTCCAAAGCCCAAATTCTTAATCACTATATTATGAGATAGTGGCTAAATGATATCTCTAAATGTACAAATTCTTATAATTATCTATTTTTATATTAAAATATTATATTGGATTCTCCTACAATGAGCTTCAGCCTTTGGAGTTACATATACCTAATAACTCTATTTCAACATCTTATTAGTACACACGTTTTCTACCTCCTTACTCATCATCAGGCACAATAAGCCTCCTCACCTACTCTAAACCTTTAGAATTACTGTGGTAACCTCAAGCCAGTCCTATTGTTTTACATACTGTGCTCTGACATACACTTTTCTAGCTGCCTGGAATGCCCTCCCTTGTGTGAGCACCTGGTAAGATCCTAATTCCTCTGGGCAACTTGTTTTCAGTAAATAGAGCTAATCATTCACTGTCCTAATAATGACTCAATTCATCCAAAAATATTATACACATGCTACGTTCTGAGCTAGGCACTAGTGAAGACAGCAAACTGTAAAGCACGCCAGGTCTTTGCACTAATGTATGCATGTATGTATCTGTCTCCCTTACTATGCCATGAGCTTCTAAAGGACAGGGGGCATGTCTCTTTCATTTTTCATGAAGAGTCATCAATACAGTGTCCAGCACATATCACGTATTCAAATGTTGGCTGAATAAACATGCCAAAGGTCCGAGAGTCCATATCACAGAACCTCAAGATAGAAAGAAACATTACAGGTCTTCTGTTCTAATTACCTTATTCTGAAACAATGGAGGTCAAGGATGCCCTATGATCATTTCATTCACATACCATATGTCTTTTTTTCTAGCACAATCAAGGTATAATCAGTAAACACGCAGAGCCCTTAATAATGAACTGACGCAATCCCTTCCCTTCAGAGATGCACAAAAGGGCTTCTAGTTTTGGTAATCTTTCCATGGTTGTATTCAGTAGCAATGACTCAGAATCTTACAGAAAGAAAGTTTAAAATTCTCCCAATAGGAGGATTTTAAAAAACCAAAGAAAATGACCACTAACGAATGTTGATGAAACAGTCCACAGCGTAGTTCCCGGGTTGTTGATACAGGTAGCAATAAGTGCTGCAGAGTCCCAGTGAAGGTACAGAATTAGGGGACCATTTCACCTCAGACCCCCAGTGGGGCTGTGGTTCTGCCAAAGTTAAGAGAACTGAATTTTCCATCTTCCCTTGAAAGAAAGGAGTGTATGAGAAAACCTGCAGCTGAAATAGAGAATGCTTGTTGTGGCAGACAGACCAAGCATGGGAGCTGAAAGAAGGAAGGGTGAGAGATCAAAGATTGAAAGCGAAAAAGAAGAGAGCTACAAATACAGAGACAGACTAAAAAAAATGGGGGGGTGGCTAGAGGGAGGAAGGAAGGGAGAGAGAAAAAAACTACAGTGAGACCCAGAGAGAAAAAGATGGAGAGAAAAACAGAAAGTAGTATCCCTATATCAACCAGTATAATAGGAAAATAATGAAGACTACATTAAGAAAGGCAAACTTAATAAAGGAAGCATGTTTGGAGCACCTGCAAGAAGAAAACCTATAGACAGTAGTAACAGTGCTGAAATGGGAAACAATCATCTCATAAAGAACAAGAACATTCTAGAACCTATAGAAAAGTGGAATGGAAAAAACAGAGAAAGAATCTAGGCAGTGCCTAGTGACAGGGATATTCACATCAGAAAAAAAATGTTCTCATTTCTACATTTACACTTAAAAGGGTTGCACATAAAATGTTCTTATTCTAGTGTGCCAATCTCAACAAATCCTTAATCATCTTCCTAAAGCCCTGAGTTGAAAAACTTTCCTCTAGGAATGTGTATGCATGTATGTGTATGTGTTTGTGTACAGACACATTATTTAGAATATTTGTAACCTGTGTGACTACTATGCCAACTATTTCACCCTAAAAGGGCGAACACCTAAATGTTATCTGAGTTTAACTTAATCTGAATATGCTACAAGGTCTTGGAGAATCCCTTAACACAAAACATTTCTTCTGAAATTTTGAGTTCTTGTAAGAAATACTCTGGTATACATTCTTTCTCCACATAACAATCTGAACATACCGTATTAGTAATCCAGTCCTTTTGGGTTAACTCCTTGAAGATGTTCCTTGCTTTACTTAAGTCCAAATAAACAGGCATCATTTCTGTAGTTCTTCTGCAGAAGACAAATTTAGTATTTTGTTAGATTATCTCCCTATATGTAAAGCTGCTTCTAGAGCTTGCTTTACTTCAATAAAATTACCTTTTTTCTCAAGTGTATAATAATAACTATAATAAATTGTCTAAATACAAATGCAATTTAAAATGTAGTAGACGTGATTTTTTCTAAAATACCAAAAAAAAAAATCAAGGCTGCATAAACTATACATACTATAAGACTTTAACTCAGATGCTATCTGTAATAGATTAAAAAAAGAAATATTTCCCAGTTTAAAAAAATAGCCACAGAGGGAGGCTGAGACAGGAGGATCACTTGAGCCTGGAAGGTCAAGACTGCAGTGAGTTGTGAACATGCCACTGTACTCCAGCCTGGGTGACAGAGCAAGACCCTGAGGAAAGGAGAGGGGAGAGGGATGGGGAGGGGAGGGCGAAGGGAAGGGAAAAGAAAGAGAGAAAGGGAGGGAGGGAGGGAGGAAGAAACGCAGGGAGGAAGGAAGGAAGGGAAGGAGAAAGGAAGGGAGGGAGGGAGGAAGGAAGGGAGGGAATGGGGAAGGAAGGGGGGAGGGAAGGCAGGGAGGTAGGAAGGGAGAGAAAAAAAAGGAAAGGAAAGGAAAAGGAAGGAACAAACGACAGAAAAAAGATAAAGGTTTTTCCCATTTCTGAAAAAATACATCAATTTCTTCCAGTTACATGGACTGAAAAGTAGGGACCAAAAGAGGGGGCTTCTGAGCAATAATTTCTTAGTACTTCAATATAAAGTTACTAATGAAATGTTTAATTATCTTCTCATGGAAGACCTCCTAATGGAATGTCATGCAGCCATTAAAATTATGTTACTGGCTGGGTACGGTTGCTCACACCTATAATCTCAACACTTTGGGAGGCTGAGGTGGGATGATTGCTTGAGGCCAAGGAGTTCAAGACCAGCCTGGGCAACACAGCAAAGCTGCTGTCTCTACAAAAGTTAAAAAAAATTAGCAGGAGGTGGTGACAAGTGGCTGTAGTTCCAGCTATGTGGAAGGGTAAGGTGGGAGCACTGCTTGAGCCCAAGAGTTTGAGGCTGCAGTGAATCATGATAGTGTAACTCCAGCCTGGGTGACAGAGTGAGAACTTGTCTAAAAAAAAAAAATTACCAAAAAAGATAGAACAAAATGCAAAATGGGCAAACATTAAGTAGAAAACAATGTATAAACAATATGACCCAGCTGGGCATGGTGGCTTACACCTGAAATCCCAGAACCTGGGGAGGCTGAGGCTGGTAGATTGCCTGACCTTAGGAGTTCAAGACCAGCCTGGCCTTGAAATTGTGTGTACTTTTGACATTTTCTACAGCAACATGGTAAAACTCCAGCTCTACAAAAAATACAAAAATTAGCTGGGTGTAGTGTCATGTGTCTGAAGTCCCGCTACTCAGGAGGCTGAGGTGGGACGACTGCTTAAGCCTGGGAGATGGAGGTTGCAATGAGCAAAGATCACACCACTGCACTCCAGCATGGACAACAACAGGACAAGACCCTGTCTCAAAAAAACAAAAACAAAAAACTAGTAGGATCTCAATTTTTGTAAAAGAATACATTTGCATGAAAAAATATATACATATACATAAGTGCTAGCTATTACTCTTAAGTGATGGATTATGAAGATTTCAACTTTCTTTTTACTGTGTATACTTTTGACATTTTCTACAGCAAGCATATACTTGCTTTGTTAAAAAACAATTTTTAAAAAGAGATGAACACACAGCTAATTATTTTACCCTCCAATCACTTTTCATCCTCTTTTACGGTACTCTTAATAGAATTTTAATTTATTAAAATTACCTTTTCCTCAAAAAACTTCCAGATAGACAAGCAGGAGATGAAAATATCTCTTGGATTTCCCTATATTAGTAATAAGACACTGGTTAAACCAAATCACATGATATACAGACAAACAGACTCTTTATAGCATGAGACATGATAAATACAACATCTTATAATTATCCTTTCAATCTCTCCATTCGTCTCCTATCTGTAAGCATATCATCTTGGCATCTAAAAGTCCATTTTGTTTGGTAAATCTCAAAATTTCAGCAGCAAGCATGGAAAATAAAAAAACTTTATACATATTCAGAGATGCCTCAGATAAAGAGGAAAGGTTTGATTTATGGTCAGTACTTTCTTGGACAAATAAAACAATTCCACCCCACCAACTATGCAAGCCCTATTTATCTCTATTCCACTGAAGTAGAAACAAAATAAATTATCAGAAATTAAATGAGGGAAGGAGTATGCTCAGTTTAATCTTAGAATTAGTTGTGCAAATATTCTTAATTATTTATGCCCTGAAAATTATGATGCAACTATTTTGTACAACTATTTTCCAGAATTAGAAAGCCATATCTAAAAATATCTCTAAAAGACACTGTTTGTAAGAATGGGTATCATCACCGGGCATGGTGGCTCATGTCTGTAATCCCAGCACTTTGGGAGGCTGAGGTGGGCAGATCACAAGGTCAGGAGTTCGAAACCAGTCTGACCAACATGGTGAAACACCGTCTCTATTAAAAATACAAAAAGTAGCTGGGCATGGTGGTGGGTGCTTGTAATCCCAGCTACTCAGGAGGCTGAGGCAGGAGAATTGCTTGAACCCAGGAGGAAGAGGTTGCAGTGAGCTAAGAAAGCATCATTGCACTCCAGCCTGGGCAACAGAATAAGACTCCATCTCAAAAAAAAAAAAAAAAAAAAAGAATAGGTATAATCTTTACAGGCTGTAGGAGTGCTATGGTTTAGAGAAGAATGATAGAAATTATTCAGCAAAGAATAGGAGGTATACGAACTAATGGCTCCAGGATCAAATGGAAGTGGGAAACACTATAGACTGTATTTTCTGGTCAGAGAGTCACAATATACATGAACGGAGGCCTGGAGAAGCCTTACAGTAAAGAAAGCTGTCTTCATGGAGCTTACATGCTAGTTGTGATGGTTAGTTTTATACATCTACTTGGCTAGGCTATGGTACTAAGGTATTTGGTCAAACATTATTCTACATGTTTCTGTGAAGGTAAATTTTTAAATGAGATTAACATTTAAAACAGCAAACTGAGTAAAGCACTTGAACAAGTGAATAAAAAGAAAGTACCTTCTATAATGTGGGTGGGCCTCCTCCAGGTGAAGGTCTTAAGAGAAAAGGCTGAAGTTGCCCAAGGAAGAGGGAATTCAGCTTTTAGACTGCCTTCAGACTTGAGCTACAACACCAACTCTTCCCCAAGTCTCCAGCCTGCTAGCCTGCCCTACAGATTTTGGACTTGCCAGCCCCTATAATCTCATGAGTCAATGCCTTAAAATAATCTCTCTCTCTCTCTGTCCTCTCTCTCTTCCCTCCATAGATAGATGGATAGACAGACATGATAGAGATAGAGATAGAAATACACACATATCCTTTTGGTTTGTTTCTCTGCAAAACCCTGACTACAAAATCTCATACTGCTGTGCAGAACTAGTTTGAGAAATGATACTTGAGAGTGATTTATAAGCAGACAATCAGACCATGGGGTGTACCTTTTGGTGCTCTGCCACCGTTTAGTCTCCACATCAGCAATCCATCTCTTTACAGTCCCTTCATTCAGTGTCAAAATTGTCCTCCTCAGATTAACGTAAGAATTCTGTAAATAAACAGGAAAGCAAATAATTTAGACACATCAGGGATAGGTATCCAACTTTTAGGTATACTCTAGAGGGTAAAACTGACTTTTAAACATGGGTAGTATAGTCCTAGTACAATCATAAAGTGATACTCAACCAAAAAGTAATCAATCATTTGCCGGTTGCCACTTTCTTGTCCAAGGGGGCTTAGACTGAAAGTAAATTTCTCTGAGGGCCTCAACACTCAGCACTTTATATAAATACAATCAAATTAAACTGAACATCAGACAGTCTTGAATGGAAGGGAAGATCCTGAAAGAGTTGTGTGCAGAAAGGGGAGGAAATCAATTTCTCTTGGTGAAGTAGGGCAGGAAAGTTATGGACTTTTTATTTGCAGGCCCATGAACCTTGGGTTTTTCTTAGAACTGGCCTGCAAAGCCATTTTCAGAATCTCTCATTCTGTGGTTTGCAAAGATACTGACCAAATATCATTGGCAAGTAGCCCCCAAAAGGTAAGTAGAGTCTATGGAAATCACACTGATTAGACATTCACCATGAACAAATCTGCTGGTTTGTGTGGGAAAATATTGATGTAGTTTAGACAATAAAGGATCAATAATGTCCAGCTATTCCCCAAAAAGTCAGCCTAGTAATCTCATGATTTTGGCATTCACCAAGCCTGGATGCTAGAACCCTTGGTTTTGCTTAAAATACCAAGTTATAGAACACCTGGAGATCTATTTTTACCTCTTTCTTTATCCATAGCAAAATGCTTTGATTCTCTCCAGCAATCATTATTAGCTCCTTTTCTGAGGTATGGCTTTCTGAAAGAGATGCACAAAAAGTAAGAGTTTAGAAAGTCATTTGGCACAAACGTGCATATTCAATTTAAGTAACTTCAGATTCTTCTTTTTGTTTTGTTTTGAGATGAAGTCTTGCTCTGTCTGACTCCCTGGTCCAAGTGATTCTCCTGCCTCAGCCTCCCGCGTAGCTGAAATTAACAGGCACATGCCACCTCACCTGGCTAATTTTTGTATTTTTAGTAGAGACAGGGTTTCACCATGTTGGCCAGGCTGGTCTTGAACTCCTGACCTCATGATCCACCTGCATTGGCATCCCAAAGTGCTGGGATTACAGGCGTGAGCTACTGCACCCAGCCCAGATTCTCCTTAAACATAGTCATTTTATCTTCTTAATAGACAAAGCTTAGTACATTTTCCACCAAGTAAGAAACTGAAATACATATATTTTGGAGTAAAGTCTAGTTGGCAAACATAGGTAATTCACAAGGTGAACATGTAACATCAGTTTAATATAAATGTTTATATATATAATGCAAATATTTGATTTGCTAAATGCCACCAGTTTAATTCAACTCCCATTACTAAAAACCATGTTTTCAAGATTTAACCAGTGACTGCTGGCTGTAAAGAATATAAGTACTTTAAGCCCATGTAACTGATTATAAGGAATCAAAGATAAAACATGCTGCTTAAGGAAATAACTTTACTGTTCGTTTTCCCACAAAAAATGAGTAAATTTTGTTACTTGAGGTCACCACTAAGCTTTCAGAAACAAGTAACAGATATGCTCCAAGGTGCTTCTGTAGTGAAGTGTTTCAGAGCTCAGACTCTGAGATCACATAGAGCACAGGTTGAACTCCAGACAAACCACTTACCGGCCATGAGTAAGTGGCTAACACTTTTCTCTACAAGTCTCTTTATCCTCCGGTAAAACAAAAGTGACAGAATATTCCTCCCAGAATCGTTAAAAGGATTGGTGAGATAATACAAGTACGTGCTGAACACAGTTCAGTGCCAAGTATATGTCGACTGCTCATCATTTGGAGAGTTTTACATGATTGTGGGTCAACCTACAATCATGTAACCAGGGCAACCAATCACCGAATTAGTAAGTCTCTTGCAAACTGGAATGGGAGCTGCATATGCCTCTGAATCCATAGTCTATTTTACTTTGTTATCATTTAAATTCACATTAATCCTAATCTGAAGGAGTAATATAGAATAATTATTTTGTCTTGATAAATTAGACTGATTCTTGAATTGTTTACCAGTTAAAAAAAAACAGTATTTAGAGAAACTCCCTTCATAGTCATATACTGCTTCCTTTGCCACATTACCCAGTTAGAAAAATCATTTTCTCTAAAAAGATACTATGCCAAATCCTATATTCCTATACAATTTACCAAATCTGAGGTCTTCATTTGATGATACTTTCATGGGAAGCGGTATCAGCTGGTCACGTGTTCCACCATTTCCCAGTTGTCCTTCTTTTCCAGAACCAAAGGAAAAGACCTTTCCCAAATCAGAAACATAGGCAAGTGTGTGCCACCTATTAAATAATAGCACATATGGTCAATTCTTAATTACACACTATGAGAGTGTTTAGCAATACAGTATATTGCCAAAACTATGTTACCCATGAGAGTGAAACTAAACATCTCTTAAAGGATGAAAACTATCTGGAAACCAAGAAATCAACATGTACCTGAAAAGACTTTGGAACCCAAAGGCCATTCATGACCATGTCATACTTTGGCAATGGTGTTCCCTTTGTTGGGATAAAGCACCTCCCCTTGCCCTCTGCTCATTTCTCAAAACTCACTTTAAGTCATCACCTCTTGAAAGCCATCTCTCCTTGGAAGACAGTTGAGCTTCCACTTAATTTCTCAAAGACCTTTACCACACTGATTTTCCTATTGATTTGCTTGCTGGTATCTCCCACTATACTGGTGTGTAGCAAGAAATCTGGCCTTGCTCAGAGGTATCTGGCCAGTGCCCACTTCCTGAGAGGTAACCTCTAAACCCACAGAATTTCCCAAGTGATAGAGGAGAGTCTTTCTTATGCATAGTAGGGTCCTGGGAGAGAGCTCCCGTGGCCTGTGATGTAAAGCAGACCCACAGGAGGGCAGTGCTGGAGATTAAGTTCAACTACCCGCGCAATGATTTAACCAGCCATGCCTAAGCAATAAACTCCCAATAAAAATCCTCAATTTAGGCTGGGTGTCATGACTCATGCTTATAATCCCAGCACTTTGGAAGGCCAAGGCAATAGGATACTATGAGCCCAGAAGTTTAAGACCAGCCTGGCCAATGTAAGGAGACCCTATCTCTACAACAAATTTAAAAATTAGCTGGTCATGGTGGCACCTGTGGTCCCAGCTACTCAGGAAGCTGAGGCAGGAGGACTGCTTGAGCCTGGGAGGTCAAGGCTGCAGTAAGCTAAGATCACACCACTGCAGTCCAGCCTGGGCAACAGGGTGAGGCCCTGTCTCAAAAAACAAAAACAAATCTCCACTTGGGTGAATTTCTCTGACTGGATGGCAAATTCTGTGTGTCCTGTCACATTATCAGGCCAGAAGAGATAACACCATCCACCTGCTCCAAGGGGAGATGACAGCCACAAGCTCAGCATTTGGAGCTGTCTTAGGCCCTAAACTTATGTTTCTTCCTTTGACTGGTACTAATTTGTATCCTTTTCTTGTAATAAATGTGACTGTGAGTACAATAGCTTTCAGTAAGTTCATGCATCTTTCCAGTGAATTGTCCTGTTAGTAGGGGTATTGCCCTGATGTGCATTAAGACAGGTTTTCAACTCACCTCCTTCTCTTGTAATACTTGCTACTCAAAGGATTGTGTGTAATGAAGAATCCAAAGAGGTGATAAGGCTGGTCTGGTTGAGAGATACTGAATGAGGTATCGATATTGAAGAGAACATTTCTTTGGTGAAGAGACTCGTATTCAGATAATTTGGGCTACCTTAATATTATCCATTTATGTAATTTTACTCCAAGATCATAAAAAATACCTACAGACTGAAAGTATGTAGGCTAGTTTTGTATAAGAATGGTTTCAGTAAACTAAAAAATGAATCCAATATTCAGATACAGTCTGAATTTTGCTCCATGTTTAGTGAGGAAAAAACTGCCCCAAAATAAGTACATATGGGGGAAGATATTTTTTAACCCCATCAACTCCCAACATCCCACTGGAAAGAAGTGGACTCATATATCTGATGATCAAAAAAATTAAATAGTGATGTGGTGGCTCACCCCTGTAATCCCTACATTTTGGGAGGCCACAGTGGGCAGACCACCTGAGGTCAGGAGTTCAAGACCAGCCTGGCCAACATGGTAAAACCTCATCTCTACTAAAAATATAAAAATTAGCTGGTTGTGACAGTGTGCGCCTGTAATCCCAGCTACTCAAGAGGCTGAGGCGGGAGAATCACTTGAGCCTGGGAGGCAGAGGTTGCAGTGAGCTGAGATTGCATCACTGCATTCCAGCCTGGGTGACAGAGCAAGACTCCATCTCAAAAACAAAACAAAAAACAAACAAACAAAAAAAAACCTTTAAATAAACCAAGGAATTTGAGCAAGACATTTTACCTTTATTTTTTAAAAAAACAGCTGTGAAAATTAAACTTCTTAGGAATATTTCACTCAAAACACCACTGATTCTGTCTTATACTTTACTGTGATCAGGGCAGGCTACAATGAAAGTACTCTGGTAATTAAAAAGTATGTTGGCTGCAACGCATTGTCAGACAGGATGCTTACATTAATGAATAATCCTTTGTGATTTGCGCTTATTTTTCGCAAATAAACAATTAATGACTTATTTTTCTTAAAGACAAAAGTGTACTTGAATAGTTACAAAGGTATTTCGCTAAGGAGACAACAGAAAGTAAATTGTATTTGCTCATTACAAAACAAACAAACAAACAAAAAAACCTCAAAGAAAACAACCATGTATAGTAGAAGACGTATTAGATTTCCAATAATATAAATTAAGCATTTTCACTGATTTGAAAATGTTTGATTCTCATAGCTCAAAGAAACTGATAGAAATTTTATTAAATTACTATCTAGTTTATTGCATTCATTTTTGTCAATTTCATTGACACTTTACAACTTACCTTCCACATGCTATCTGAGTCACTTTATTCCCAGCAAGCTCAGCCACCAAACAGGGTCTTAGCTCATTCTGTGTTGAATTGTGACCAAGTTGCCCATGTTTTCCAGCACCAAAAGTAAACAGCAGCCCATCCTAAGGAAAGAGAATGTCATATCAGATGCCAGAGAAATATAATAAAAAAGTAGAATCCACTGATGCAAAGTGAATAATAAAAAGTACTGTCAAAGTAAATGCTCCTAAATATCAGGACAGTGCTACATGTAGGAAGTGACAATCTTTCTTCCCTGGGAAACACTAACTACCCATACAAAACAGGTGTATTCTAAAAATACAGCCAAAAAGAGACAAGGGTACACCCACCTGTGTGAGCAGGGCAGTGTGAGAGCCACCACAGGCGAGAAATTCAACTTTCTGATTGTCTAGTGCTTCAATAAGGGAAGGAGAATCTTTACCTGTGTAAGGAAAAGAACAGCTAAAGTGACCAAAACGAAATGCTGAGTTTCACACTGGAGTTACCTGGACTGCTGCTTCTCAGTCCAGCAACAACAGTTCTCATGACATTCTGACAAGAAAGGCTCTACACCGCTATGTTTAGGACCAAGTTCTACATCTCAGGGTGAAGGTGGGGCAGTGGTCGAAATGGTCACACTTACGGGCACCCCCCTGTGAAAGGGTCAAACTACTTCCCAAAGCCTGTTCTCAACTCCACCTGACTTGCTTCACTTTAACTGCAGCACACTAAATATTTCCAATCCCCATCTAGAATTACTTTTAACGAACACAGCAATTCTTTTTTTCTTTCAATTTATCTGCTACAGTGTCACCACCTCATACTACCTCTTTTTTCCTTTATGATTATTTTCCTGTCAAAGCACTCAGAGATTCAGCCAAAGTAGTTTAATGGCCCCGTTATTCTCTCCTCTCCTTTGAATATTTTTCTAACACTGACTTATGGGCTAGTCTGTGTAATGAGCATTGCACTGTGTCAGGGAGAAACAAGTATGTAAACTGTGATCCAGGGTAATGCATAGATTACCACAGCTGGGGAAAGCAGCAGAATTTGTTACACCTGAAAAATCAGTTTTTGGGCTCAAGAGAAATTTTGCCATCAGCTTTGTTCAGTAATGGAAATTACATGTTTCTTCATGGGTGCTTTTGTGTGTATACAGACATAATTGATACCTTATAGAATAAGATCAGGATACATGATTTCTTAAATGGGATTTTAGATTCTTTTGTAATAATACACTAACAGACTTTAAGTGCAAAAGCTTTGAAGGTCATTTCATTCAAACTTGTCACTTTACAAAAAAAAAAAATGAGGGTCGGGTGGACTGGCTCACATCTATAATCCCAGCAATTTTGGAGGCTGAGGCAGGTGGATCACAAGGTCAGGAATTCAAGACCAGCCTGCCCAACATGACAAAATCCCATCTCTACTAAAATACAAAACATTAGCCGGGCATGGTGGCAGGCACCTGCAATCCCAGCTACTGGGTAGGCTGAGGCAGGATAATTGCTTGAACCTGGGAGGTGGAGGTTGCAGTGAGCCAAGATCATGCCACTGCAGCACTCCAGCCTGGGCAACAAGAGCGAAATTCCATTTAAAGGAAAAAAAAAAGGAGGCCTAGAGAAAAGTTTAGTGACTGGGCAAGGCTTGCAGTTAGTAAACTACAAAGCGGGAATCAGAATCCAAGTTCTCATCCCTAATTCAATGCCCTTTTCCATCTCACACACAGCCCTGAAACATTTATAGTAACAGCCTTGACTCAATTATAGTAACAACTTCCACACTATGCATGTCTCTTGGACTTATTCTGCCCCGAAGACAGAGAGGTAGTCAGGAAGAGCTGTGCAAATGAAAATGAAGATGTGAACCATTTTTGACAGGGAGATCCATTAAATTCATCCCTTATCTAACAAGGATATTTGTGGATAATAGGAATCTGAGAATGTGCTCCATACTCTCAGTGTGGTCCAGGCCTAGTTGTCCAAATTCATTTTTTCCCCATGAATAAATGTTGCCAGACATGGATAAGGCCATGCTGTGGGCTTCTCCGGCAGAAATCTGAGCCAAGGGTATTCCTGCGAGGTGCTCCACAATCTGCGGTGTGGTGGTCGAGGGAAATTTCCTTCCAACTCCGAGCTGCCCATGTAGGTTCTGTCCCCAGGCAAAAAGCTCACCACCTTGACATAAACAAAGCAAATGCAGTTTTATTCAGTTTAAAATGCAGCAGACAGTACCCTAGAGCATTATGCATACTCTACGTAGTATAGTATCACAAAACTGTACCTTTGTACTGATGGGACTCTCAGATCCCCTATGTCTGACTCAGAAAAACATAGAATCTTTTCTTTAGCAGTGACAGTTACACTTCTTTATCCCTCACCTCAAAGGGTAGAATGAAGCTATATGAACATATTAAAATCAAATTCAAGAAATATTTACTTTAAAACACCCAGACAATGGGTCCATGAAAAACAGAAGCAATCTACCTCTGAAAAAATAAAACCCAGAACTACTATTTTCTCTATCTCCCTACCTTTCATATGCCTAAAGAGCTCAAACAACTGTAAGATTCATTTGAAATTACAAGATCCCAAATAAACAACTGTAAAATTCATTTGAAATTATAGTATCGTAAATGAGTCAGTTTTTTCTTCTATTAATTCAATATATGGAGGTCATTTTTAGGGAGAGTTCTTAGATGTTATTTGATAGAGCTGACAATATCTAAAAGTACACCAGAGAATTAAGAGTCTAAAAAAGTACACCAGAGAATTAAGGTTTACTGAGCATCTCTTTGCAAGATATTGTGCAGGATCTGGAGGGAAGCAGAGCCTCTCGTTCACACAGAATTTTCATGCACCTGTCAACCACCAGGAATACAATGATGAGCATGACCAGTTTCTTTTCTTGTTTCCCCAACTTTTATTCTTTCTGTACAGTGATTTACTAGTAATAAACTCTGAATATCCTTTTACCCTTGTACATACATGCCTCTAGACCCTGGGCTTCTTAAAGGTAGGGTGTGTGTGTTTCATCTTCATAATCCAAACACAGTAGATAAAATGAAATATTTGTTCATGAATGAATGAAGTCAAATTATCAATTTTTTCCAATACCAGTTCATACTATCAAATCTCAACATGTCTTGCAGTGAAGGTCAAATACTAATTATTAACTTCTCTTGAATCCCAGCTTCCATTCAGTTTACGAACATGTTTGTACCTGTCCTACATTTATTAGCAAAAATTCCCTTGATTCCAAATTCCCCCTTTATCACCCTACTTCTATTTTAATTATTCCTTTCACAGTAAGTTTCTTTTTTCTTTTTTTCAGACAGGTTCTCACTCAGTTACCCAGCCTGTAGTGCAATGGCATGATTTTGGCTCACTGTAGCCTCAAACTCCTGAGCTCAAGGGATCCTCCTGCCTCAGCCTCCCAAGCAGCTGGGACTATAGGTGTATACCACCATGCTCAGCTAATTTTTAAGTTTTTTTGTTGTACAGATGAGGTCTCCCTATGTTGCCCAAGCTGGTCTCAAATTCCTGGCTACAAGTGATCCTCCTGCCTCAGCGTTCCAAAGTGCTGGGATTACAGGCATGAGCCACCAAGCCTTGCCTTATAGTCAAATGTTTTTAGGATATAATTCATATTCACTGCTTCCATTTCCCACCATGACAGTGTCTGATAGAAAATGAGAAATATTATAGGACTAGGGAGAATCCTTGAATTCAAAAGGCAGTGTTAAGACATATCAGAGGCCTGCAACCTGGCCACAAAATCGGACCCAGGAGATTCTGAGCCGGAAGAGTGGAAGCTGGAAGAGTGTTAGGAAAAGGAAAGAAGTTTCTGGGAAAGGGTGGCCCCAGGCCTGGACCAGATTCCAGAGAAAATAGTTTTGATTATTCAGAAAATTTTCACCATTTTGTACTTGAAAAATAAAAACATAAAACCAAATTTAGGAATAATAATTATGGAAACCTGAACATTTTATAGATCCAAGAATTCTCTCATTTTGTATTTGCTTTAAGAATAGTACTCAGAACCATGTCAAATTCAAAACTATATTTCTGTCCTGTTACAAAGTGAAGTATAGACATTCTACTGGCTCCACATATACACACATGTATTACTTCTAAAAATTATTATTCTAGAAAAATACCTTTTGAGAGTGCAAGAGAATGATAATCTCCACATGTGATCTGGATTATTTTTTTTTCTTGTAAAATGCTTTCAAACCTGATGAAAGAAAATAAATTTTATGTTAATCACCATAATGAAAGTAACAATATGGATTTTAGAATTATTAATGGTATTTAATTAGAAATGAAGCTCAAGAAAAAACTTTAAATTTGATGCATCACATTCAGTGCATCTAAAATTATTTTTTAAATACTATATGTTTTAATTAGTGGTTTAAGAAAAAATAATATGCATTACATAATTATAATAAAATGACTAAAATATTCTATGCAAACAATGATTTTATGATGCAGGAATAAATGCAAGATGAAAATGAGTTCTAATTCATAATAATCTACTAGGGAAAAGTCTCACAAATCATTTCATGATAATATGTATTTTCTTCTAGGTTAAAAACTTTTATTTCTGGAAATTTAACTTATAGGATTATTGTGAGGAACATATGAGTTAACGAATGTGAAAATCCAATTTAGGGCTAGACAGACTATTTAATCATTATCTTTAAATGCCAAAACAACACGTTATACTTGCCCTGGGAAACATGGATTTACTTGTCAGTTCAGAATTTATCATTTACTGAAGATGCAACTATATAAAGCAGGGACAAGAATCAGATATGGTAACATTTTTCTACAAAAATTATTGTCTTTTATTTAAAATTAAATAATTAATAAAATTAATAAAAGAAAAAAGTTCCCTACCTTAGATGTTTCATGCTATAGTTGTCGTACTCAAATGGTTTTCCGTCTGATGAGAGAATCAGCATGTGGTCTGCTCCCAGGTCCATGGAATGTATCTTCATGTTTTTTCCTAACTTAATGCACTCTACAGAGCAAATTCAACCAGGAACTATGATTATTTTGATTATTATGCACTGTATTACTGATTTCATTATAATACACTTAAAACACCTGGCAAAAATTTCAACTGGACAAGGTTTGACGTACCATGAATTTCTCTTAAGAAAATTCAGGTAGGCAAAGTAAATTAGGAATGACAATTGTCTTGACATAGATTTTTTTTAATTTGAAAAAATATTGATTTATACTTTGTTTTAAATGGAACACGCCCTTAAAGTATCCAATTAAATATCTGCTTTTAGACTCCTGTTTATTAAGTGAAGACAAACTAAATTTGAAATGACACAGATGAAAAGGTCTATAAAAAATATAAGTTTAGGACAACATAACTCATTTCGAGAACAGTACATTGTGTATTCTGAAACATTCCTTTCTCCCAAAAAGCAAATAACAGTAATAAACACCTCCCAACAGTTTCCAGTAGAAGCCAATGCCTATATTCTTAAAAGGATTATGTTTGGGGGACTATTTTGAAAGGTGATGTGGTTGAAAACACTTTTCATTAGCATTAGTGCACATGTGGCCCTTTCTAAAAGTTAAGAGAAACTGTCCTCTGGTTAAAAAATGTACTCTTATTTAATTTGCTCACAAAAGTTAAACTACGTAGTTTGGGGACCTTGCTTCATCTTCAGTGCCAATGAAATAGAATCTATTCATGTAAAAATCTCACAGCACAAACCATATTACAAATGCTAGGAGAACCAAAGCAGTTTGGTAATAAGAAATCGCCCAACAGACTTTCTTTTAAAGAGACTCAGCATTTCGAATCAGCTGAAAAATAGGAGGTATTAAGAAATGGTAATGGGACATTGGCTGGGCATTTGGAAAAACAAATAAATCTAGTCCCCTTCCTACCTTAGTACTTAAATTCCAAGTGTACAAAAAATTTTAACTTAAAAAATAAAATCTTAAAATTACCATAAAGATGAGTACTTTTTAAAAAAATCTTGGGAGCGCAGGCAGCTTTCCAACCTAACATAAAATCCATAAGCCTACTTGACAGAAAAAAATCGATAACTACCCAAAAAACTGTGCACAATAAAAAATAACATCCCATGAAAGGCAAAGTGAGAAAAATATTACAACATGTACGAGGAGCAGAAGACTATTCTTATTCAATATTCAAATACCCCTTCCATACCAATTAAAAAAAGATTTAACAACTAAATTTTCAAAAAGCCAGGCAGAGATAAACAGGCAGTTTACTGAAAAAGGAATGCAAATGCCCAGTAGAAAACCGCAAAGATGTTAGACTTCGAGTTAAATGCAAAACAAACCCACAGCAAGATACCAATTTCTTCACTCCACAGACGGGCAAAATTTCAGAATGTGGGCATTTATTTCCCTCCACCTTGATGAGAATGTGGGAGAAGTGTGACTGAAGGACAAGGTAAAATCCCATCACTGAAAACGGCTCCCAAAGTTGGAGCAGTGGCTACTTTCTCAGGAGTTAGTGGGAGATGTGACGCGAGGGGGGCCAACTTGAACAGAAACCTGTGGAAAAGCCAGACTGGCTAAAAGGATGAAGATGCTGCCCGCAGGTTCTGCGCCAACCGCTTTGCTGAGTTCAGGATTCGCTGGTTGCCAGCATCCCGCGCACCACGCGCCGGACAAGGACCGGGATAAAAGACAGCTCAGGTGCGCTGTCAGCGAAACGATCCGAGCCAGGCTCGCGACTGCGGCCTTCTGGGCTCTCTCCCCTCAGGCGCGGACCCCGGTCGCCCGCCCCTCACAGCCCGCACACAAGAGCCCCACTCACTCGGCGTCCGGAGGCCGTCACTCCCCGGGAGCAGCTGATGAACCTGGACGCCCGCCCCGCCGCGCTCCAGGAAAGCCAGGCGCCCTGACGAGCAGCAAATCTGACGCGTCGCCTCGACTCTCCGGAGCAGCGCGCGGCGGAGGCCCGCGGTGCTGGGGAAGAGCCAGAGCTGCGCGCCCGGAGATTTCGCGGGCTGGGACGCGGCGGCCCGGCCCGCGACCGAGCGTCTGTCGTGCCGCGACTTTCTCCGCGACCTCCGCTCCATCGCTGCTTTGCAGGGTCCCCGGCCCGGAGGCGAGAGGAGAGAACGCGACGTCCCGGGACTGGGCGCGCCCACTGCTCTGGGCGTCGCGCGACAGAGCGGGAACCGGTTGCACGCAGCTGCGTGGCGTCGGGGAACCGCAGCCTCCGCTACTGCGCCCCTGCTGTTTGGGGGCGTGGCCTGCAGCTAGTTTCGGAAACGAAACAGTTTGTTGTTTTTAGGGGGCGGAATCGAAAAGGAAAAGGAAACTGAGATGAGAGTGACTGGACAGGCGGCCAAAGGTAACAAACAGGTCGCTGGCTAGAGTAAAGGCCGTTGGCTGAACTGAGAAAGTATCCCGGGCGGGCAACGGGCACCTGAACTCCTGGACGGAATGGCTTTCAAGGAAACGCTGCAGTTCCACTAGGAGGCACCCTGACACACGCATTTCCAGAGGGAGGGATAACGGAAGCCAAAGTTTGTTAAACGTTGTGCGCCAGGCTCAAACCGGGATGAAACTAGGGAGAGCTGTGCAGTCAGCCTCCCCGACCCCGCCCCTCTCCCCCGCCCCC